ATTCTTAGATATGCATATCGGTACAAGTCTGTGTTAGTTGGGAGGCTAGGTTCCCTGTCCAGTGACTGCGAGAGAGGAGATACGGCGCGCCCTCTTTGTGCGAATGCGCATTAAGGCGGCTCGACGCACGCGGCATTCGGCAAATCCCGAGCAACCGCTCGCCGAATCCCATGTAGTGTAGACGGGTTGCTCGCTATTCGCCGAGCGCCGAACATTTGGTATTCGCTCTACCCACCGCGTCTTGGGACACATCAAAGGGAGCGAACATTTGCCGAACACACCAGCTGTGCGGGATTGGGCGGGCAGTAGCTCGCTGCTCGGCGAATACCGAATGTGTGGAGCCGCCTTTAGTGCCAACCGGTGACTATTCACTGGCAGGGTCCCCGCTCATTACTGGTCCTGCTGTAGTAGCACAAGTTTGGAATCTCTCTTTTGTGAGGAGTTTATTTTCGCGGGATTCCCTCACCGCTGTTTAGTCGCAAATTTCTTGGCCTACGGCGCGCCCACTATTCGTCACCCTTTCCCAACATGGAAGAGCTATAAGTCATCAATGTCATCGTAGGCTTCGCTGTCTCACTGTCGTCCTCAGAGGAACTGCCCCGTAAAGGAACAATAATTTTGTCAACATCTTCGTCCATGATCATGTCTGTTTTCGTATATTCTTCTTCGATTTTCTTCTCGTGTTCACAACAATACTTCCATCGATATGGGCAATATTCAGAAAATAACTCGCTGAGGGGTACCGATGTTTTTTTAACAACACGATTCTTAATGTAACCACATGAAACGAATTCGATGGAATTGACATCGGAATGGTAAGAAGGGAGATTGATGTTGATGCCACATTACCAGCGAATAGTTGTTTTAGAAACAAATAAGTACAATAGTACTCCTGTGAACTTTACGTGAAAGCCTACGCTAAAACACACCATACTGCACAGACAAACGCGATAGGACTAAGGACCAGGAGGCGATGCTTCCTGCGCATGTTTCTTTACTTGAACCTTAATATATTAAGAGTGAGCGTTTGTGCATAGACAGCTGAAATTGTTCTGATTTGGATAGCTGACACTTTTGTTGCGCGTTGGGCGCAGGCACTGCCTCTGCATTCAGACTGCCCTCCCCACGCAGTGCGCGCGCGCGAAAGAGAGAGAGAGAGAGAGAAGGGAGAGTGAGTGAGTGAGTGAGAAAGAAAGAGCGCGCGTGAGAGAAAGTGAGAGAGAAACAAAGAGCGAGAGAGATAAATATTGAGAGAGCGAGAGAGAGAGAAAGAGAGCTAGAGAGAGAAAGAGAGCTAGAGAGAGAAAGAGAGCTAGAGAGAGA